TGTGTGTGTGTGTGTGTGTGTGTGTGTGTGTGTGTGTGTTCGTGTGTGCCCTCCTGTGTGTTCATATTTACTTATATGCAGTTCTATATTGTCAGTAGATTTGTCTGACCAGTATCACTGTCAACTTGAACTGGTTCCTAAAAGAGGATACTGTGTCCTGCCCTTTTGTAACCTTTCTCACACCTTTCACTCTACTTGACAACATTCTTAACTACTAGTGAATTCCTAGAGTCCAATTCAAGACTATTATATAAATGAATTCATATACCATGTAACTTATGGGAATTAGGTTTTTTTCTTCTCAGTGATTTACTTGTGATCCATCCAAGCTCTTGTGGTTATTGGTTATTAATAATTTATGCCTGTATGTTAAATGCTTTTAGTTCATGGATGGAGGATGTTAGCTTTTTAGTCATTCTTCTAGGAAGAACATTGTTTCTGGTTTGGGCTGTTACAAGCAAAGCTGCTTATTACATTGGTCTATACATTTATGTGTGAACATTTAAATTTTCATTTCTCTAGGCTTAATACTCAATTGCTGAGTCAAATAATAAATTAATGTTTTATTTTATAAGAGACTGCTGGTCCTTCCAGAATGCATGGTTGTGCCACATGGCATTCCCATCAGCCATGTACCAGTGACCCTGTTTGCATTGTCACCAGCATTTGATGGTGTCAGTATTAATTTCAGCCATTCCAAGAGTGTGCAGTAATAGTTCATCACAGTTTTAATTAATGCCTAACGAAGCTAATGTCTGTTCATATGTATTACTATCTCTACATCATCAGTAAAATTTATTTTCATGTCTTTTACCCATTTTCAAATTGAATCTCCTGGCTTTTACTGTTGAATTGGTGGACTTGTTATGTGTTTTATGTATAGTCCTTTATGAGATATGTGGTTTGCAAATATTCTGGTACAGCCAGTGACTTATTTTTATATATTTACTGGTTTTGTTTTTTTCTTTTAGTAGAACAATAGTTTTAAATTTTGTTCTGGTCCATTTTATCAGCTTCTGCTTTTGTGAAATGTGAATTGTGCTTTAGGTGTCAAGTGTGACATTCATGTCCCTGTCCTAGATTCCAAACCTTTATTTTCTAAAGGTTTTTTTCTATCTATAATATTTTATTTTGTATTTAAGGCTTTGTTGCATTTCGAGCTAAATTTTGGATGTGATGTAGAATTCAGTCAGGGTTCTTGGCTTCTCCTCCCCCTTCTTTTTTCTTTTTTTCTACAGGTGCACTAAGGAGAGATAGCTCTAGAACTGAGAATGCTTTTTAGTCTGCCTATAAAGTGATTTCCAGATCCCAGTGCCAACCTGGTTGATGGTGCCTCACCTGCTTCATGTTAACACCTTAACCTTAAGATGTAAAGGGGCCCCTTAGACCAGCGTGCAGACCCACACTGGAAAAAGGCATTGCTTTTCAGCCTGTAAACACACACTTTTTTTGTTGTTTTTCGAGACAGGGTTTCTCTGTGGCTTTGAAGGCTATTCAGGAACTAGCTCTTGTAGACCAGGCTGGTCTGGAACTCACAGAGATCCGACTGCCTCTGCCTGCCGAGTGCTGGGATTAAAGGCATGCTCCACCACCTCCCAACTGTAAACACACACTGATGTGTGTTGTTGTACCTTGTCCTCTTCTGAAAAACAGTCAAAGGAAAAGACATAGCTAAGAATTCATCCATGCAACACTGGCCGTTTCGGGGGTAGATAAGGTAAAACTCAACAAGACTTTAAAAACAGGTAACATTTGTCACTGGGAAATGCAGAGAGAAGGGGAGGGCAAGGAGAGGGAGCAAGAGAGGGAGTGGGGAGGAAAAAGGGGAGAAAATTAGGAAGAGAGAAAAGAGAAGGAGGGAGAGAGAAGAGGGGGAGGGAGAAAGAATGCAAGGAAGGGAGGAAGGAGGGAGAGAGAGATCGTACCCTATAGCTCAGCTATACAATGAAACCCAGAAATGATGAAATTATTAAAAAGCAAAACAACAAAATGACCATAGAGAAGAGTTAAACAACCAAAATATTTTAAAGAAAGAAAGGAAGGAAGGAAGAAGGAAGAAAGGAAGGATGAATGAGAGAGAAGAGAAGAGGAGAGAAGAGAAGAAAGAGCCACCCAGAGTAGATTGTAAATCTTTCCAAATACTTCCTGATGAAACTTGGGTTGTCATAAGGAGGAATTGCCTAATGGAACTTACTTGAGAGCCAGTTTCTGACAACACAGGGCAGATTTTTCTGGGGCAGTGTACTTAAGGGCAGTCCAAGCAAGTCCAGGCAATCTCTGGAGGAACACAAAGTCAGGCCAAGGGCAAGGCCAGATTGATGCAATCACAGTTTTTCTCTAAACCAAATTAAATACTTTACCCAAATTGCCTCGTGTCCAGAGAAAAGCAAAGGCAAGATTTGCCCTGCTGTGCTTGCTACCACTATGTATCCGATGGCCCATAGCTGCTTTGAAACTGTTTCTCTCTTGCCCCCCCCCCCATGCCTTTTCCTTGTTAGTAACAATTGTTAGTCAACAATTTTTGTGTGTGCTATTTCATCATGTGGTTTCATAAACATTGTCTGACTGTGTTTGGTAAATTCTCTTTCAGCAAACTTCCTCCATTGATATGCCTTTCGGTTACAGCAAGGTTAAATTTAAGAGTCTAGTTTAGATGGGCGTAGTGCCACATACTCTATTGCTAGCACCTGAAAGTCTGAGGCAGACAGAAGTAGACTGAGGCAGGAGGGTCTCAAGTTTCACATGAAGTTGGACCCAGTAGTGAATCCCAGACTAGCTTTGCCTACGTAGTAAGGCCCAGCCTCCAAGAAGTAAATTTAAAAAAAAACCCTCATACTTTAATAACCATGGTTTGAATTAGTGATTTGGAATATAGCTGTGTTACTCTTTGAGGGGGAGTGTGGATTCCCATTAAGTGGATTTACTCTGCTTAAATCCTGGTAAATTTTTAGGATGTCCTGACCTTGGAGTTTCGATAGAGTTATAGTTTTGAAGCAGTTGTTTAGTTGGATTGAGTGATTCTTGGGATCTTTCCTCGTGTCTTTGTAAAGAATTTGTAGATTCAAAGTGTATTATCTATGTATTTATTAATCCCTTGATCCTTAACAAGTCTTGAAAACCCAAATGCAAGTCTAGGCATGGTTGTGCATAACTGTCATCCCAGCACTCAGGAGGGAGGGGCAGTGGGATACCCACAAATTTAAGGGCTATTTGCCTATATAGCAATATCCAGACCGGACAGAGCTAATACAATGAGACCCACTCTCAAAATGAAAGGAAGAAAGAAAGAAAGAAAGAAAGAAAGAAAGAAAGGAGAAAATTGAAAACATCACAGCAAAAATAAGCAAACTCCTCACCAAATAAAGAACTAAATTACTAAATAAACTTATTCTTTGCACTTCTGTGCTCTGGGATGATCGTTAGGTAATGTGGCTCTGTTTGTTTGTCTTTCCATTGTTGTTAAAATGCAGGTATTTCTTAATTAGTGCCCAATAGGGCTCCCAGTCTTCCACACTCATTTAATGACACTGTTTGTAGTCTGTGGTTTTCATGTGGGCTCCTCGCGTGAGTGTGTGTGTGTGTGTGTGTGTGTGTGTGTGTGTGTGTGCGCGCGCGCGCGCGAGCGCTCTCAGGCCTCCAATATTCTAAACAAACACACTGCTACTAGACTGAACCTCAAGACTATCTGTAAGTGTTTTGAGCCCTGGTGTAATGGTGCCTGCTGCAGGACTGATGACCTGAATTCAGGAGAGAACCACAACTCCCACAATGTGCTCCCTTACCTCCATCACAAGTGCTGAAGCATGCACCTGCCCACACACATACCCAGGAAAATAAACAAGTCTGAAACTCTTTTTCAAGTTCTTTGAAAATATAATGGCTCAGGGTCAAGGGTTGCCTGCTGACATTAAACCAAGCAGTAGGTTCCAGTAGGTTCCTGAAGGACTGCAGGAGGCTTGTGGGAGGACTATGGGAGGGTTTTACAGGAGGTTACTTTTTATCTTTGCAGGGTCTGGCAGGGCAGGCAAGTAGACCCTGAGTGACTCCAGACAGTGTTGTGCACAGAGGTTTGCCTTCCCCAGACTTGCTGGTTCCCACCTCCTTCCTTGTTTATCACCAAAAACAGAACTGCCGCTCCCACCCACACCCACTCTCTTTTCTTAACACTCCCCATCCCCCCACCCCAATCAGGGCCAGCAATATATTGGCCCAACCACCTCTGTCAGCAGCTGCAATGACTAAGGATGCAGAGTACAGAGCATGCTTGAGCACCCACCCCCACTCCTCAGATAATGCGGCTGGCCTCTGACCTGATCATAGCAATCTTGAGCTTCCCAGTTACTGGCACTGCACCAATGTGTGAAAGTCACCTCACTAAATAGCCAGGGACGAGTCCTTGAAATATCCTTTCCATTTCTTCAGTTGCTAAATTCGAATAATGAATTTTAAAGTTGTTATTATACCATGTGTGTGTGTGTGTGTGTGTGTGTGTGTGTGTGTGTGTGTGTACATGCAAGTCCCAGAGCACGTGGAGATCAGAAGGTGACTTGCAAAAGCCAGTTCTCTCCTTCGACCATGTTGGTCCTGGTACTGATTCATGGCAAGTGCTTTTAGCCACTGAGCCATCTTGCCAGCCCAAATGAGACTAATGTTAAGATGTGGAAAAAGCAAAGACAGGGACCATGACAAGGAAAGTCAGAGCTAGACAGATGATCCTTAACTCCCTTCTTCCAGGGGGAGCAGCTGAGAGCTGATACTGCCACTCACTTTTTTCTTAAGGATGCTTGGTAGACTTTCCCATTCTGACAGAGGGAAACCGTGATGGCTGCGTAGATGGAAAGACTGGCTGGTACAGTGGGTGTTCAGACAGTTCATCCCAGCCCTTCCTCCATGGAGACCTGCACTTTGATCCTCACTCAGTTCTCATCCCCATCGGCTGCTCTCATCCTGTGATCTGTTCCTGTTGTTGAGATCAGGAAGAAGGAACTGTTATATAATAAGCCAAATTGGAATCACATGCTTCCCAGAGACACTGTTAGGTAGTACAGTTAGGTACTCAAAAATTATGAAGGAAATTATATAGTCCAAAGGGCTTTGGGAAAGCTGAATTTCCCATGCACTTAACAGTTGGGTCCTAAGCCCATGAGACAAAAGTATCGATGATGTACTTACTGGTTTAGTACTTTAGATTCAGTGACTGGTAATCAAAGTCACTGTCATATCTCAGGGAGGCATGCCAGAGCTGCAGACTCCCTGTACTACCAGGAAGATGTTGAGGTAGCCAGAGGTCTGGACTGGTCACCTTTATCTGTGATCAGCATCTTTTTCCAGGGCTTAGTATATTATTACCCCCTTCCTCCATGCCTTGATGGGAAAAAAAGCTTTGAAAACAGATCCTTAGAATCTTCATGCCAAACGTCTGATATGTGAAAATCTTCATCCGCAAATAGGAATTGACTGTTAGGTTAGTTTAGACCTAAAGATGTGGCTATCAGGTCAACAGCAAAGCAGCATCTAAAACCCTGCCTTGCCTTCCCATCCAGAGCTTGTGCTCTCTCACCCTGCTCACAGCCACGTGGCACTCTTGTGGCTAAAAACAGCTTGTAGAGTGCAGCTTCTTAAACTGGGCCACACCCCTAATGGGGTGTAACTTAAGTGTGGGTGTCTTGAGAAAGATGACACAAATAAAAGGGTTCTTGACTTAGAATAACCAACGTGTAACTCAAAATCAAACGTCAAGTGAATTCCAGGATCTTCTGGGCAGTTTGCCGTTGCACAGCTTCCCAGCATCCTTGGATCTGAACACACAGCCAGCGTGTAGCTGTGCACCATTGTGCCTCTCAGTGCTGGGGAATGTTGCTGGAAACACCTCTGCTCTGGTTTGAGACTGTTGTGTGCTTTGAACTGTGGTGTATTTACTATATAAACAAGTCCTCTGCTTTCGTAGAAACACAGTTTAATTATAGAAAGCAAAGACGTACATTTTCCTACTCCTATTCCTTAGCATGTTAAGTATCAAGTGAGTGTATCTTCCAAACTATGTAATAGTGGTTGGTTTTTAAAATTTATTTTTATTATTATTTACTTATGTGTACATGTATATGTCTCCATATGAGTGAGGAGGACAGAGGCGTGGCAGATCTCCTGGAGCTGGGGTTACAGGCAGCTGTTGGGGTTACAGGAAGCTGTTGAGCTGCCAGATGTGGGTGCCGGGAATTGAACTCAGGTCCTCTGCAAGAATGGTATGTGCCCCTAACCTGTGAGCCATCATTCCAATGCCATAGCTCCTGATTTAAAACAAAACAAAACAAAACTGGTGTTTGAATTGTTGACCTGAGTTTAACTTTAGAAAAAACAATCATTAAATGCATTTGAGCTTGGAAATAGGACACAATGTGTAATATAATGGTTTCTGGGGTGCCTTGAGCATACCTGTACACTCTGAGCTGTGTATTTGTGGAGTGACATCCTCAGCCTTGACAGTTATAAGGCAAAAATTGGATCTTTTCTGAAGAATATTGAAAATGCTGATTGTCCAATAATCAGCCAAGAGTTCATTCTGTCTTGTTAATATAGAAGATTACATTCATCTTTAATAAATGATAAAATTATATGTATGCCAAAATTATTTTAAAGTGAGTTCATGATTTATTATCAGTAAATATTTAATGTGTATTCGTGTTTTATAATACCTGCACATACAGGGTCACATATAAGTCCCTCAGATAAAAAGGAGTTATATGTGGAAAAAATCTGAAGAATTCTGCTATAGGTTAACTCAGGTTGTGTGGCGTGCTAATCCTAACAGTGTGGGAGGAACAGACATCTGTGGGCAATCCTGGCAGCTTAAACTAAGTTAACCCATTGTAAATTAAATTGGAAAAATTCATCCTAGCCTCTGGAATTTCAAGTTTAATAAAGATCTTTTCAAAGTATATGGTTTGCATTATGATGATATCTTGTGCTATGTTTAATCAGGTTTATCCATCTATAATATTAATATTAAAATATTAACCAACCAAGGTGATAGGACACAGTCTATACATTTTGCCTCGGTGATAAGGTTTTGAATTTAAGTGATTTCATTTTCTAAATTAAATTTAGAGAGATTGCGTCCTTTTTCAAATGAGTGGTTTCTCATAATAGACAGAAAAATAGAAATAGACCTGACACAAGGCCTCACTTACCCTTGAGGTTGAATACAGACCCTTAGCATGTGTGTGGAAGACATCACCTGGATTGTTCTGACTGGCTGTGCTACCACACTGGGTGAGGACAGAGGGACATCCTCTTCCTCTCTAGCCCCACAGAGCAGTACTTGATTCTAGAAAGAGCTCATCTTGTGGGCAGAGCAGTTCCATGTGAACTGTTGCCACTTTAAACTTAAGTCTGTGGATTGCTTTACCCTGCTGGCTGTGGGCCATTAGAGGTTTGAGTATCCACAATGTGTCTGAAATTTAAGGAGAAGCTAATTACCAGCTGAACTCAGTCAGATAGTCCATCAGGTCACGGGTTTTGACTGTATTGATACATAAAAAGAAAACAAAAACAGTTATAAGAATTGGGTCAGTATTACTTTTGTACCTTCTTCATACCTGTTCATTTTATGCTGTCGGTTTCACCCTTCGCAAAGTGTCTTGGCAAACATTTGCTTTACATACACATTGATCTTATGTGTAGGTTAAATGCAGCGAGAAATCCATCTTCAGGAAATTAAATATACCTCTCCTTGAAATCACTAAGCTTCCCAATGAAGAATCTGAGTTCCAAACCTTCCTCCAGCTGTCTTCATCTCCAGCTGTTTTATTCCCTTCCTTGTTGTATCTCTTTCATAGTATCTTTTTTGCCTTGTCTGACAGGTGGGTTAGAACACCTTGTTAGTGTTGTAATATGCTAAGTAGTAAAAGCTGTACCTGGTTTTGGATGTAAAATGCTTTAGTTGTCTTTACTGGAACCTTATTTGATCAATTCAAAGATCCATCCCGATTGCCTCTGGGTAGGTAGCATGCCTGGAGTCACCCACAGCTCTGCCTAAGGGGTCGGGAACATATTCTGCATAGTTCTGATTTGTTTATGGTTTGTAGTCAGCTTTCGCTCAGCATGCCACCTGGCAGGAGAAGACTCTGTAATGGTTCAGTGCTCCTTCCATGAGCCAACACAGTGATTGGCTTATAGCCAGTGTTAAATATTTGATGACCACGTGAAAGACAGAATATGTGAAACATTATCTTTAACACGGTATATAATGGTTAGTGAGTCTTAGTTTTTATCACCATAGGGTTTTTAGTACTTGTTGGTTTTTAATAATCTTAAAAATACTAAGAATATTTCAAAAGCATTGCTTTCTTTGACCTTTTTACTAATTTATAATTAAAGTTTTGCATGCACTGCACTGTTGTTTAAATCTTCTCTTTCCTATTTTCTTGATAGAGTTCAGATCAGGCAGCTCTTAAGGGAATATTTACAGAGTACTACTGTTCATTACTGGGAAAAACATCTACGGTCGAGTTTGACCTGCTAATGTTTCCAGGAAATCATTAACTTTTTTCTAGTGATTAACAACGAGCTTGTGAACACTCAGCCATTAGCAGTTAGAATCATGTGTTTTGCCTTCCTTTAAGGAGCAGACTGGGCATTTTGATTGAATTCCAAGTACTGTTTTGCTTTTTAAACTGTAGGGTACAACCTACTGGGGAGGTCAGTCATGAAATCAATTCAGTAGATGGAAGCTGCATTTAAAATATTTAATTGAGACATAATAATAAATATTAATGAGCTACAGGGTGACATTTCCATTCGTGTATATAATATGGAATGGTCAGATCAGAGTAACCAACTTATCTATAATCACAAACATTGTATCTATTTCTTTGTGTTCCAAATCTTCTCTGTTAGGTTCTCTCGCAGCCCATGATGTCCTGAAATTCCTGAATAGCCAAGGATAGCCTTGAACTTTCCATCATTCTGTCTCAACGTCCCAAACTTTAGGATTTCAGGAGTCCACCGCCTTGCTTGACTGTACTAGGCTTCTGAGAGACTGCTGTACTGGTTTCCATAGTGACTGCACAAATCATCATTCCTGTCAATGGTGTGTGTCAGTTTTCTGTCTTCACGTCCTCACTATTCAAAGTGTGATCGTATGACATCTCATTTTTTTTTATTTCATTTTCCTGATGCTTAATGATGGTGAACATTTGTATTTATGTGTTGTTTGTTTTGTTTTTACTGACTTTTATCGTGTGCATGTATCTGGGTTTATGAGCAAAGTAGGTTGCATGTGGAGGTCATGGACAACTTCCACAGCATGGGTCCCAGGGATTCTTTTCATCAGGCATGTCAGCAGGTGCCTTTACATGTCGAGTCGTCTGAAAAACCCCAGTTTCATATATTTGTTGACCATTTATATATGTCAGCTTTAGGGAAATGTCTGTTCAGATCATTTCTCAATTTTTTAGCCAGATTACTAGGCTTGGACAGATGGCTTATAGGGATGAACCTGGGTGAAGTAGAAAAGAGTAGAGTTTGTTACATGTTATCAAAATAAACAACAACTTGTAATTTTCTTTTAAATATATATATATATATATATATATATAATTTCTATTGTGTGCAATAATTTAAAAAATACCTTTAGTGTTCTATAAGGCTCTTTGGTTAGTATCCTGGCAATGAGGTTGTTTTTCACCTTTGAGTGAGTATCTTTGAAATTATTTATCTAATAGGCATTAACTCTTGTCCAAAGGTAGCCATGCACAGAGGTACCTTCTAAAAGTGTTTTCCCACATTGCAGCATCAAGGATCCATATTAAAGTTAGCTAAGGGTTAACAACAGGTGTGTTTAATGAACTCCAAGGTGAGTCTGAATGCCCTACATCCTAGAAGACCAGTAACTTAGAACCTAACAACCCTATACCGAACTGTTGTCAGGAGCCTCAGGCAGCTTTTGCTTTGGAGCCTCCTATGGTTCCTCCTCCATAGAGCTACTTCCTAGCCATGGATATCAAGTATAGTTTTCTTTTCTCTAAGATGAGGATATTAAAAGTACTGCATGAACTAAAATATGTGGATTTGGGCTGGTGGGATGGCTCAGCAAGTAAGGGTACTTGTTGCTCATGCAGACCACTAGGTTCAGTTTGCAGCATGCACCTGGTGGTTCACAACCATCCATAGCTCCAGGTCCAGGTGTCCAACTCCTTCTGTACTCAGGTACTAGGCAATACATACATGCAAGAA